CGGTGGAGCGCCCGCGGTCGTAAGCTACGCGCTATTGGCCGCGCTCCACCGGCAAACTCGCATTCTGATTGGTCGGGGTTTTCCGTTAATATCTCCTCAACAATACCTCGGACAACATTTTCGTTAAGGAAAAAGTTGTTTCTAATCACCTCCCGAATCACTCCTTTCAATGACCTCCACCATTTTTGGGACACCCTGTATACATATTTTCCGAAAAATATCGATTTTTAAACAATTTCTGTTTTTGTATTGAAATTTAACCTTTTCTGCATCTATCGATGTTAATTTGATTGAGCTGTATTGTGGGGAACGAATTTTTTTTTTTTTTTTTTTTTTAATAATCCTTGTAAATTTCGGGTAGTAGAATCTGAAAATGCTAATTCACTGATTCGAAAATTGTGAGCACAAAAGTGAACATTTTCTAGGACAGGGCAGGGGCGTAGCTCCTCCTACTAGCACCACTCTCCAAAAGATACACTCGTACCAATTTTCGAAAATAGGTATACTAATATAAAAAAAAATCCGTCACCTATAACAGTCTGTTTTACCGACAGGGTATGGGTGGAAGGCAATATAGCATCGATATAGTAAAATACGGTAAAAATTTTTTTTTCAAAATTCTTTTCTGCCACTTCCACTAATATAAAATTAACATCAATCGATTCAGGAAAGGTTAAATTTGAATTAAAATCAATTTTTTTTTTTTTTAATGCGTAGTAGTGAACCCCCCTATAGATACGAATTCTGAATTACCTTTCGAAGGTAAACAAAATTTATTTATTTATAAATGAAACAGGCACAAAATTCCATCGCAATTGGAGCCTGATTTCATTTAATATACAAACCCTTCGAATTTTATGTATTATTTATAGAGACCAATTCTTTGCCTTTCTAAGGGTAAACAATATATTTATTTATAAATAAAAACAGGCTCGAATGCAATTTCTATTATGACTCTAGCCTACTTCTGTTTAATATAATTTGTCGGAGAAATAATGTTCCTATTTTTTTTTTTTTATTCGAGCATGCGATACCATATCGTGATCAATTTGTAGGAATAATTTCCAATGCATAATAAAAATGCAAGGTCAATGGAAAATTGGTATCGCGTAATTTATATGGAGACTAAGTCCCTATTTACTTTTAATGGCAGACTATTTCTGATCTAAAGGAAACATAACTCTGAAAATCCAGCTATAGTAGTTATTAAGACAAAATTTTGAAATTTTTTACTTTTATGCAGTTTCAAAATGTTGTCTCGATAACTACTGATACATAGCTAATTTTT